AGGTGAATCCAGAGCCGGTGCCACCTCCAAAACTGTGAAACACGAGGAATCCCTGGAGGCCCGTGCACTGGTCAGCCTGCAGAGAGAGACACATGAGAATGTTCTGAGACGGATTTCTTTGTGAACACTGGACTGCTCAGAAGTCCTTCAGGAGCTGGTCCATCCCTGCCATGGGCAGCCACAGACCCTTCCCACGATCACAGGATCTAGCAGGATGCTGGAACCCAGCCCAGGGGGACATGTACCCCCTCTGTGGTCACCTACCAGCTTCCTGATCCTGTCCAGCACTTGGTCAATGATCTCTTTGCCGATGGTGTAGTGCCCACGGGCATAGTTGTTGGCAGCATCCTCCTTACCGGTGATCAGCTGCTCGGGGTGGAAGAGCTGGCGGTAGATTCCAGCCCGAACTTCATCTAGGAGAGAGCAGGGGAGGGTTGAGCCTGGTGGAGGCTGTTGGTTTGAGTTGGCTGCCAAGCAGACTGAGTGGCTGCAAGCACCCATGCCTTGCCCCGGCTCCGCCTGCTGGGGGCACAGCCAAGGACCCACACGTCAGCAGGGCCACCACGGGCTTCAGGTTTCTCTGGCAGAGGGAGGTGGCTGCCACCTTCTCTGCGCAGGAGCTCAGTTTCTCCAACCCATCAGGAGCTGCCTGCCCACAGCGCGCAACAGCACAGCGGGAGCTGCCGTGCCGGTTGGGCTGGTTTCTCCCCATGAACATGCAGTAGCAGAGACTACCTGCACTGCTGCCTCTAGGACACTTCAGCAACAAAAGATGGTGCTCTGGTCTGTGGCTTCTCCTGGGGAAAGGATGGCCCTCAGGTTGAACCCAGTGCAGAATACTGCCAGCAGACCACAAACACCAGCCTCTTGCTGCTCACCCAGATGTGCACCCCAGGCCGTGCAAACTCTGGCACTCACCGATCACGGTGGGCTCCAGGTCTACAAAGATGGCCCGTGGGACGTGCTTCCCAGCCCCGGTCTCGCAGAAGAAGGTGGTGAAGGAGTCATCCCCTCCACCGATGGTCTTGTCGCTGGGCATCTGCCCGTCAGGCTGGATGCCGTGCTCCAGGCAGTACAGCTCCCAGCAGGTGTTGCCCATCTGGACGCCGGCCTGGCCGACGTGGACGGAGATGCACTCGCGCTGGGGGGGGGGAGGCAGAGTCAGACCCTGGCACAGCTCTGTCCTGCTCCTCCCAGGGAGGGCTCTGCCTGGTGCCTGTGCCCCATGGCCACCTGCATGGTACCTGCCCTGGCCAGCAGTCCCAGGGAGCATATTTTCCTTTGGGTGATCTCCCACATGCCCCTAAGGGTCCCCACAGGGCTGTCGTTGCCCTCAGCCATGCTCAGCACCATGCCGGGTAAAGAGCTGGTCCTGGCATCTGTCCCACTCAGCCCACGTTGGGAGCCACCAGCCCCACGGACTCTGGCCAGGGCTGCCCTCCAGCAGTGTAGGGAGCAGATCCTGGCCCAGCTCCCCTGCCCCAGCCGCCCTGCCAGACTCCTTGACAGCCTCAACACCTTCCCCATGTACAGCAGCCCTGCGAGGTGCTGAGCTGAGCAGGCACATCCTTAACCCATGAGGTGCAGCCAGCACAGTGAACCCCTCGCCTGCTGCTCCAGAGCCAGGTTAGCACTCAGCCTCCTGGGAGAAGGGGCCTTGGGGATTTGGGGGCAGTGGGGGGCAGCCAGGGGAGGGCTGTCTGTGAAGACCAGCAGTCTTCGAGGCAGCACAGAGACTCCCCAAGCTATGCAGTCCTAACCCCGTGCTGTAAAACCTGGGTGGGCAGAAGTGCCGGGGATCAGGCTGCGAGCTGGAGATGTGCCTCCTGCGCTCCCATCCTGCAGGTGTGCTCCGCTACCCCTGGCATCCCTCCTCCCCCAGCTCCGGCATCCCCACTCGCCCGGGCAGGACACCACGACTCAGCCTGGGGGTCCCGGAGCTCCTCGCTCCTCCATCCCTGACTGCGTA